AGCTGAAAAAGCCTTTATTTTAGAGACTTCATGATTTTGGGATCTTGGGACATCTTTAATTCATGCATACAAGGAAAGTGGAACCTCTGGCTGATCCATTGTTTATCTTTGCTTATGTCACTTATTAGTGACCGATTTTCTTTAGGACTTGCCCAGACAGAGCCACTAAAATATTTCTTTAGCTTTGCTTAAAGCATAATATGGTGACAGTAATGTTTGACAATCTAAAATACAAATACAAATCTTAATTTATATTGATTTATGCAGTCAATTTTTATCAATATTATTGTTCTTAAATAGAATAAAAAACCCAGTTAACTCAGCCATAACAAATAATATTGGCATTTAAACCACCTACATGTTAAAGCTAAAATCAAACATTGTTTCAAGCTCTGCAGTTTAGGAATTTGAAACTGGAATATCAACATTAATACATTGATTCTGTAACAAGAATTCTGTTTATATCTAGAATGCATGAAAAAAAACTTTACTACATTTTTCTCACCTTTTTAAAATATGTGAGTGCTGTGAAATGCACCAGGGAAAGCTACGTATGAGGAGAGAAGTTCCCTTGAGAAGTATAATTCATTGCTGCTTTCATACCTTTATTGCTGCTATATTTATGCAATACTATCTATTTTGAACAAAGACACATTTTTGGCAAGCCTTTAATTTTCTCCACATGCTGCTGTGTCTCTCATCAGACAACCATTATTCCACTTACTTGTACTTGAGTGCTCGTGACTTTTTAAAAAATATTTTCAGGCAAAGTTTACCTGCAGCTGTGAGATGAACTGCACAAAGATTATATAATGGTTCTGTGTCTTGTTCTGCTGAGCGCAGAGCCAAGAATCCCTGGAAAGATGGATCAGCTCCCTGGAGGAAGCCTGGGTCACCCACTCTTGGAGATGTGTGAGCATTTCATACATTTCCATTTGCAAATTAAGTTTGCAAAGCCTGTTGGCAAACCCAAACAGGAATGTGAACAGGAGCACTTCCTGCAAACATGCTTGAACATTCTTGACCTTATCTTCATGTTTGCAAAATGTGTACTTGAAGAACAGGCCACTTTCTCAAAATGCCCATTTCTGAAAATATGCAAATTTCTCCCAGTGCACAATTTTCTCACAATGCTCACAAAATGTGTGCAGTTTTGAAAATTTCCACACATGTGGCACAGACTTGACCAATGTGGCACAAATTTCATATCTGATAGCTGTTTATTTTCTGTAAGTGGAGCTGTGAACGTTCACACAGCCTCACCATCAGTAGCAGTGGAGGCAGCCTTTTCAAACCTTGTGCCTTACCAGTACGTGGGAATGCAGCATCTACCATTGGCCATAAAGTCTTATAATTACCTATGTTCCAGTCCAACACAAACATTTGGGAAGGTTAATCTAAGGTCTGTCAAATGGAGATTTTCCATCATCATCCATATGACCCCTGCCTCCAATGAGCCTTTGTCAATCATGACAGCCCTTTAAAGAATCTCACTGTTATTTATTCATACTGCACTGACTGAACTTGCAAAAATATGGCCCAAAGTGCTGCCAACCCCACAAACAATGAGTTGCAATAATCCAACTGGATCTTAGCAAGGCACGGCTCACTGATAACAGACTATCTGCATGCAGAATGCATAAAAACTGAAGCACATGAAAGGCACCCTGCGCCTCGAAACCTACCTGTGCTTCAAGTGACAGCAATGGATCCAACAGAACATCCAGACCAGGTGGAACCCTCCAAATCCAGAGTTACTGCCCACAAATAGTGCCCCAGTTTGTTGGTCCTTGCCTAGTCCTTTGCCATAGTCAAGCACAGATCTAACATTATGACTTCTGTACCAGAAATAGTTATTTATTATATTTATAGCCTACCTTTTTTACTTTCAAGGAATTTATGGTGGCCTACATCCTGTTCCTCCTGCTGTTTTCAGTCTTATCCCCACAACAACAACCCTGCGAAGTAGGTTTGGCTGAGAGTCTGTGACTGGCCACAAGCACCTCAGTTAGCTCCATGGCTGAGTAGGGGCTAGAACTGGAGCTCCCAGATTCCCAGTCCCACACTTTTAACCACTGCACCACACTGGCTCAATTAGATGAAAAGAGAAATAGAGCAGGCTCAAAATCCCAACAATTTCATGCAGATCAGGTGTACATAGTCTTTTTGGCTCAACCAACCCTTTGCTCAAGGACTGTTGGTCAGGGCACACATGTGCATATGTACACACATAATGGCACATAATCATGCACAGGAACACACATTAGCAGTGGTAAAACAGCAATCTTAGCTGCAGATACTGAGAGTTTCTGGGTGTTCTGGGTTAATACCAATGGCAGTGGGACATTCTTCCCCAGCCTGGCCCCCTGTAGATGTGTTGGACTAAAGCTCCCATCGGTCTCCACCAAGAAGGCCATGCCATGCTGGCTGGAGAGAATGAGAACTCTTGTCTGGAGCACCCAGGAACCATTGGGCTGGGGAAGCTTTTATTATGCAGTTAGCAGACAGAAACTAGACCATAGGTATTAATTCATAATGGTCACTTCCATTTACGGATGTTGTGAATTAAGATATTTATCACTGCATGAAGCTCCTAAATGAGGGCAAGTTACATTTTTAAAAAGCAGAAATCGTCTATTAAACATGTCTTATGTCCATTTTAATTTGTCTTGGTTATACATTAATCATTAATTCTAAAAGTTAAGAAATTTGGGCCTGCCCCTTATCTCAGATGTGCAGGGCTGGCCTGTGGGTTATTCTTTAGTGAAGTAAAATGCTGTGCTTATGTATAGGGACAATGTCTTTAATATTTCTGCTAACCCTGAATGGAGAGTGGTAGCTTCCAATTTTAAGTGCTTTGCACCTGGGATATTACTATGTATAAATGGCAGATGTTACTGGAGACTGGGGGGGTGGGGGGACAGGGAGAAGAGTTAGACCAGCTTTCTCCAACCTAGTGCCCTCCAGTTGTTTGCTTATTTATGATATTTGCATACCATTCCACATCCAAGCAGATCCCAAAGCCAAGAACAGTACAAAGGTGCAACAAAGAAGAATGATACTTTGCCGTAAATGAAGAAAAAGATAAAAGGAGTGTGCAATAGTAGTGGCTAGTGCAAATAGAGATTTCTTCCTCCTCAGCTTTCATGTGCATAGCATTATTGTGTTGTTGTTATGTCGCACTCTACAAGATTCAAGGTGGATACCAGGAAATACTTCCTTTTGGTTAGGACCCCAAAGGTATGGGTTGAGGCCCCATTGGTGAGGGTGTTTAAGGATAGGCTGGACATGCACATGGTAGGCATGTCATCAGTGGAGCCGGCTGGGGCTGTCGGTCAGCCTAGATGGCCTGGGAGGCCCCTTCTGACTCACTCTGTATCTCTGTTTCTACAAGCAAATAGCCAGTGGCAAATGTAGTTCTCTCAAGGTTGTTGCAGAAGTCTTCAGGTAAACTACATTTTCCAAGGATCAATTGTTATCTGGGTTGGAAAGGAAAATTTTCCTCCCTTCTGCTTACTGCCACTGGGTGGGGTGGGTTGCAGTAGCGTAGGGAGAGTGGACTCAAGGTGTTGTCGTGCATCAGACAAAATTATTTCACTTATTTGTATTCCAGTTCTAACTTTTTGTCTCCATGATGCATCTAGACAAAGTTTACCTGCAGCTATGGAATGATCCACACAAGGACCTAAGTCCTTGTTCAGATGCTGTCTGAATGTATGAAAATACAGTTTCAGTTTTCAGTCATTCAAAAATGCTCCATTTGTAACCCCAGGTATGAATTAGAGTGCATTTTCATGGAAAATGTTTGCAAATTCCCAAACTCATCTTCACACATGGAAAAAGTGTATTGGAAAAGTGTCCAACTTGTTCAAAATGCACAACCTTCTTTAAATGAACATCATTTCTGAAATCTCCACATTTCTTCACAATGCACACATTTTAAATCACCTATCCTTTAGTCTATGGGGAAATTTTTCGCAAATTTGGGAATTGTTTGTGCAATTTTTATACGGCATAGTTGTTCTTTTTGTGCAATTTTACAATTTGTGCCAAGCAAACAGTGAGTGCAAGCCTTACATAAACTGAGGTGAGATGAGCAGCAAGATGATGCATGGAGAATCTTGGCAAGTGAATCAAAGGAAGAATTTCTTTCCTACCATTATTTGTTGTGGCATCCTGCCTATGGAATGAACTCCCAGTACCAAAACTGTGCTCTTTCTGGTACCTTCCTATGTTCCCAAGAATTTTCCCACTAAATTAATTTAGTTGCAACCTTCTTTTAAATCTTGCATTTCATTTTAAATCTCTGGGCTGCTGCTAGGCCTTATTCTAGTTTTTACTTCAATTTTATAGTGTAGTTTTGGCCATTTAGATTTTATATGGGGTATTATGCTGCATTTTTGTTTGTTTTTAAATAGGTTTACATTACTATGATCGAATAGAGTTTTGGCTACTGGGTGGTATAGAAATAGTAGAAAATAAGTAATAATGTCACACCATATGCACAAGCAGCTTGTGGGAAATGTAGCTTTCTCAGGGATATAGCAGGAGCTTTTATTAGGTCTGGGGGGAAGGGGTTACCCTCATCTTTCTGAATGCGGCGGCAGTGGTGCATGGGTTCAATCTGAATTCAAATAGGCTCTGAATTAAGCTATTTCCTGATTTTTTAAAACTTGGCTTATTTCTGAGCAAACCAATTTGAGCTGAGAAGAGCCTGCCCTTCATAATTCTAAACTTCTAGCTGTGCAGGGTCTCTGCTGGGTTCAAAAGAGAGCAGGGCAAGTTTAAGAAGATATGCAAATAGAGGCAGCAATATTGTGCTGTTTTTCTCCATCTCCAGCAACCATGGAGCAATTCAGCAATGAGGATCATTATCAAATACAGATGGAGTGCAGATAGTTATGTTCTTAGCCAAGTGCATCCAGGATTTTAATTTTATCTGTATAAACACCAGAGCAGAAAATCAGCATTAGTACCTGTGTTATGCACTGGGAATGAAGAAGATAACTCTAAAGAAAAAGGTACCACTAGCTGACCTCATTTAAAAGAAACACATGCTTGCATGAATGCATTCTCATCAGATGCAAGTGGGTTTATTTGTTTAGGAATATTGCATTAAAGGGAAAGATATTACATTTTTCCTATTTACACGGCTGAATAGTTTTGTGTTATCATAGTGTGATGCTGGTTTTATGTGTCCAGATGCAGCAATGTAGTGCTCGCTATATCTCCTGAATGACAACTTCTATAAAAAAATGCACCAGTTCAGTAGTTTATATTTTTAAAAAATGGTATTATTGTACAATGAGCATTAAATTAGGCAAGTAGCCTACCACAGTTTTCTGTGTTCGTCCCACTACAGACTTCCTGATTTATTATTATGCAAACTTTAAGAACAAGAGCATATGCTATAAGGAAAGGGGTGGGAAATATGCAGCCTAAGATTACGTGCAGCCTTAACTGGCCCTAATGGGGTTAGGGGCCTTATGGTCCCCCCTGGACATCCTTGAGGGACACTCCCTGCCACATGGCCAAATTTGCTCCTGAAATTTGGTGCCGTGATGGCAACGAAAAGCGAGGCACAAGAGTAGTGTGTGACTCATTCAGAAGCAAAATTGTACTCCTGGAATCCTTGCAAGAATGTGGTTCTATTTCAGAAGAACATGTGTGCTCCCCTTATACCTTGATTTGAAGAAAATACACCCTTGTTGTTTTTTGCTTTGTTTTGCAGCAATGGGGGATTCCAAGAGGCTGGGGGGTGATATGGGCTATGTGCTGCCCACCCCTGGTGCATATAAATAGACACCTCAGTCTGTCATTCTATGTGGGCTAACCCTCTTTATAGTAATGAGATGGCAAGATACATTGAACAATGCATGTATGATCTGTTTCTCAAAGGAAAACGAAGCCAAGTAATAATACACATTCTATAGTAATGAGATGGCAAGATACATTGAACAATGCATGTATGATCTGTTTCTCAAAAGAAAACGAAGCCAAGTAATAATACACATTCTAACTGCTGATTCATTTGGAGGTGAACATGCTGTTGCAGGATCATCGAGGTTCCCAATATCCTCTTTAGCAGATCTTGTTGAATCCCATATTTAGTTCAAAGACTTGCCCCATGAAGACCTCCAGAGCAGCTATGGCTGCACCTGATTCAGTAATGATCTGATCAGATGCTTTGATGTACCTGTCTGACCTCAGAGAAAGCACTGAATGTAATGACTTATGGTTCAAGAGCCAGGGGAGTCTGCTCATTGGGCACAGCATTTACAGCTGCGGGGGATGCCTCTGTGGCAGTACAGAAATCAAAAAGCCGGTTACCGATATGGTTTAGCTGTCTTGGAAGTTCCCTCAGCCTCCAGTGGGGAAGATTTGTTAGGAGATATGATATAGGGAGGGGCTTTAGTTCAGTTATACTTCTGTTTTGCATGCTGAAGGTTTCAGGTTTAATGCACAACATCTTGGGGCAGGTCAGGAAATGCACCTCCCTGAAACCACAAACAGCACTGCCAGTCAGTGCTGGCAATACTGAACTAGTTGGACCAGGGGCCTGGCTTGGGCAGGGCAGCTTCCTGTGAGTGTGGCCCCATATGTGACTTTTCATGTGTGAGAGCAGGAGAATAAAAACAGGATTGTTCTTGTTGACACAAATGTTGCATTTTTAAAAATGTTTTGTTTCAGCTGTTGTTGAGATCTTTCTTCAGTCCCTGCAATATTAAGAATTCCTGCTGAAGTTCCATTCCTGCTATGGGGAAATGTATCATTTGGTGATCACCTTCCGCAATACTTACGGCATTTCTGTGGAAAATTTGGTAGCCATTTTCATTCTGACTGTGTCGCAGGGTCAGCTGTGTTCACAGTGGGACTTCATAGAGGAAATGGAGGTGAGGGGAAGGTATAATTCCCTTCTGATTCTCCTGATCCACTATCCATTGCATAAAACAAGTATGTATCACTTCCCCATTTTCATGCTGGAAAGGTATAACATCAGGATGGGGATAACGACAGGGTACTGCTGAATGGGAAATACATTCAGCTAGGAGCAGAACATAAAGCATGGGAAGGCGAGGAACATTCTACACTGTACTATTACGAGTTGGAATGACTTGACAGCATTGTGCAAAGGTGTGCTGCTTTTTGTAGTCAGTGGAATTGCACACGCATCTGATGACCAATGTGTTTGTGTGTGTGCATGCAATCTATCTGCATGATGTAACATTTGACCAGATCTTCAGGTGCAGCAAAAGAAAGGTCTAATCAGAAGAGTGGGGTCAGTTTTACAGCTCACACTTCTGCTCATGTTCCTTAAATGCGACCTTTCTTACATTAAGGCCGGCCCAGCCTGAAATTCTTTCTTTGAGCACATAAATAAGTTTCTGGGTGTAACCTCAATTTTGTTAGCTGCTAGGAATATGGCCGATAAGTAGATGCAAGGCATAGCTGACACAGAGCAAGTTCAGCAGAGTGTGGTTGTTCTCCCAGGGTGCCGATGTCAACATGGCAAAGCAATTTCTAAACAGGGCGAAGTAAAATGCAATTATCTACACTTGATATAGTCATTTCTTCTCTCTGATTTTGAGGCAGAGAGCTGTGGGAAAGATTATGAAAATGTACCTTTCCTGTCATAGGTTTCAGAGTACTCTGTGTAGTGGTTGAATGGAGCATTCCTCTAAAGAGACAGCTGTTCATTGATTTCTGAGCTCTCCTCCATGTCTCATTTCATGCCTGGGCCAGTAGGACTGATCGTGGAGCAAACATGAGGCTGAAGGCCAATGGAGGAGGGGCCGCTGCCTCAGTGAGCTGGCCAGTATTGTTGAGAGTATCCATCAACATCCATCTGATGCTGAGAGTATCTATCGGCCTCTGTGAACCAGAGACAAAATGCAACGCTGCTTCCCTCCTCGTCTCCCTGTCCTTTGAAAAACGCAAGAAAGGCTTAAAACGTCTATCCGAGACTTCCCAATCGCTTCCTTTGTTCTCCTGCCTCAAAGGGAAGTGAGCTGAACATGCCCCTATACACAACTACTCAGCAGTAAATCACATTATCCGCAGCTGTGCTCACTCTGGGGAAGCCAGCATGGGAGATGGGCAGCTCTGATTTTCAAGGACTGTGCTTGAATAGAGGTGAATGGGGGCCTGTTGCCTTCACTCAGTGGGAGGTGGAGAGCAGCAAGTGGCACCACCGTCTCCCTATTTCCTTTCTCCATTTTTTCCCTTTGGTGAGGGGGCAGGAAGAGTTGTCCTTTACTCTGAAACAAAACTTTAAAAAATCCCTGCTCCTTCACACTAAGAAAGTTGTGCACAGACTAAACAGAGGAGAGAAATGGAAGGGACAGTGCCTTGCACGCATCACATTTCTAGTTCCTCCTGCTTCTCTCTCTATTGCATTTGTATGTGACACACGATCACCTTTTCCATGCAGTGGAAACTGTGCTGTGTTCAACAGCATCTGCCCCCAACAGTAGTAAATGCGTTTTGCACATTGCCAGGACAATGCTCCCTGATACACGCAAGGGGTTCGAGTGTAGATTGCTCCCTGGCTAGAAAGCTACACTGCAGTACAAGAGCCATGGTGTTCTGGGTAAATAGATTGCCATCTGTTACATGCTGCTACTCACTTTGTCCTTTTTTGAAAAAAGTTTATTCCCTGACTCTGTATAGAATCATCATCATTATTTTAGTTTAAAAAAGATAAAACATGATATTCTATGTTATTAGTTGTTTAACTCATCTCCCAGGCAAGTATCAATGTCAGGTCTTGGAAAGACCTTGGTAATGCAGCTTGACAGCAGATAAGAGGAGCAAAATATTGATAGCAAGAGATTTTCCCTTCTTCCCTTCACTCGGCCATGGATCATGACAGACTATGTTAATCTTACCACTAGTGTTGGTGCAGAAATACAATTTCCCTCTCTAAACTGCCATTCAGATCAAACACGGGGCTGCAACTTACATTTCCATCTTCACTTGGGGTGGGAATATGATTTTACAAACTGGGACACACACACATAAACGTGGTTTTAGTATTTTTGAACGATGGCTGCATAACAATATTTTATAACAATGCAGCATAAAGGCACACAGAAATTATGCCAGTCAGATTAGAAACAGGTCAATTGCTCTAGCTCTTTTCAGATGACCCCCTTCATAACTCTTCAGTAAACACATTTGTTAGCCATGTCCATGATACATGTATACCTGGACTAGGAATGGATTGATCTGTTAATTCTGTTCTCACTGAGATTGTCAGATTTTCAGGCTTCAGCTTGTTCTGTCCCATTTCCATACAGGTTTTTGAGTATTGTTGGAATGTCTGCAACATAAACGACATTTTGTGTACATTCTCCCTCCAAATATGCACATTTCTGTGTGCAATTTTCAGAAATGTGCATTTTCAAGTACTTCATACATTGCAACTTGTGCATACTTTTCTCTCTTGTATACATGTTGTGTTTGCACTCCACTGATATGAACATTTTGTGTGCATTTCTGCCCCCTCTTCCCTGGCTGCCCCAATACATTGAATTGCAAAAAAATAGGTTGGATAGAGAGGAGGAGGAGGAGGAGGTGGGAGAAAAGAGTGAGAAAAGGGATGGGTCCAATCACCATTGACAGATGATCGCTGAGGATATGGTTCTGCATTTTGGTGCATGCAAATATAAACTGTACCGGTGCCTTATAGTCTCCCGCAAGTATATTAGTATTGCTTGCTCATTGGGTCCTTAGCGGTGATGTATTTGTGAAATTCTTGGGGTTTTTTGTGAAATACCCAGAAGAAGCAGCTTAGAGGTTCCTGGGTATGGCTTGTTAGGGATATAACAATACAAGCAGAGGGGGAGATGGAACCCTAAACATCACCAGCAGTGATGGAATCCTAATATCCCACCATGAACAGGATTTGCTGATTGCAGGGCAGGGGAGCCTGCAGCCCTCCAGTTGTTGAGTTTCCGCTCTGCAAAGCATTAGCAAGCATAGCAAATGGTGAGGGATGCTACAGCTCAA